GTGAAAATGTTTTGGCCTTCACACTTCTGTGGTGCCCTGTGGCTTTAAGCAGGTTTCAAACTGAAGTGGAAGTTGACATTTGAAGAACCAAATTCATCGCGGCAGCTCAAAAAGCTTCTTCATTTTTGGATTGCAGCCTCACGTTTTTCCCTTTTGCAAATGTTCCGTCACAGCAGCTATCTCTGCCAAAGCACAGTAATGATACAGAGGCAAGAGAAAGGTGCAGGAAACTGCTGCCAAAGTGTAAAATAAAGCCTCAAGATTCGCTGTGAAAGTGTGACAAAGTCCAAAGCACAATACGGAACAAAATGTTACATTTTTTTGAAATGACTAAAAGGCAAATCTGCTTTAAAACTCTATTTGGAAGGTGAAAACTGACAGAAAAAGAAACCTCCAGAACCAAACATGTTAGAGAATCATCACACTGATTTTGGAGAGAAACAGTTTTAGGACTTATTTATTTATTCTTTAAAAGTGCTTCTGCATTTAACTAAAATGTGCTGACATTTCAACCCACTTATCTCACTGATCAGAGAGCTGCATGATAAATAGACCCTTTACATTTAAAAAAAAAAAACAGGTGAATAATGAAAATAATGAATACTGACAAGACTGGGTTAAGGAGGAAACAAGCAAGGTCAACAGTAGACAAAAAACACAATCACAAACTAGTCCGGTCACCTAATATAACTGTTGTTGTTAAAAAGGACATCAATAACATAATAACACTGTTTTAATGGTATGATAGGATAAACCCTGTTGCTATAATTTAATGATAAAGTTACTTTGACCAGTTGACAATACAATGGTATTTTAGGTAGTTGTTGAAGTCACTGACTGACAACATTTAGATGATAGTTTCTCAGACAACCTGCTGATGCTTTTGATGACGATTCATTTCTTGTGCTTTAAATTTCTTTTTTTTACCATCCAGCAAAAAAAAAAAAAAAAATGGGACTACTTTGTTGTCAAAAAAGTAAATATGTCCTCCTTGTGAAAAAATAAAGTATGAATGGTATGTATGAAAGTATGAAATAAAGTATTTTTCTGTCAGCCAGTCAGCAAAAACCAAACATCCCTGAGTCATCTTAAAGAAGTCAATGCAACTTAATGTAAATGTACTAAGATGTAAAACAACTCTCCAGGTTACGGGAGCCGTCTGTGTTCTTAAGTGCAACATAGGACTGTGTGAAATATGTGCTGAAAGGTTAACCACAGGACATCTGCATTCATTTGATGCCTCATAAACAGCATGTTCAACTTGTTGATGGTTTCAAATGGGGCTTTGTGCCAAAAAACGCCGGTGTGCAAGATTACTGTGTGTCATAAAAAATGAATGCTCACAAAGCAAAACAAAGCCATGGGGGGGCTCTGCTGCCTGCAGTTCTGTCTACTCCAGACTGATGTGTTCAAACCTTCTCTACCTGTACTGCAGATGAACAAAATCCCCAACACAGACATCAAAAAGGTTTTAAAGGTCACTTATTATACTCCTTTTCAACAACTTTAAATAAGTCTTAGAGCTCCCCAAAACATGTCTGAAGAATCCACTCCAATCCTGTTTCTGTGTCTAAAGTTTTCAAATGTAAGCGAGCTGTGCTCCAACACTCCCTCTCTGGAAGTGCTTGGGCTTTCTTGCACCAAGCCCAGTTGTTTTACAGTGAGAAGGCAGACTCAGAGGGCAGAACAAAACACATTTAGCTGTGGGAGTTTTCACCCAGCTGTGGGGAGGGTGGTTATTTCTGCGTTTGTGACAAAAAAAACAAAAAAAAAAAAAACATTTTCTGAAAAGTTGAGCAAGCAAAGGTGGTGAAGATTGACTTCTTTCATAATTGGGGGGTTTGTAGACAGGCTAAAGACACATATGTGTTAGAAAACCATGGTAAAGTGTATTTGGCATATGATAATGAAATGTATTGCATTGCTGAGATCCTATCCTATACAAAAAACTCAACAAAGACCGTTTGAGAGATGCGCTGAAATCATACTGTCACTGACCTTGTGGCGAATGGAAACAGGCAATAGATAAACTCTTTGAATAATAAATCTTCTTGCTGATTGACAGTTTTTTCTTCTGTAGCTCGTGTAGAGGCTTCAGTATTAATATCAGTCTGTTTCATAACCAGCTCTGACAGGAGCTTAATAATGAAATCTCCGCCACTGTCCAAAAAACTAAGACAAACATAGCAAAAACATGGCAGTCAGACAACTCAGAGGGCTGAAACGAGAAAACAAAGCATTTACAAACAAAAAAGATACAAATTCAGATGTTTGTGCAGCAGAAAGCACATGAAGGCAAAGCCGTTTGACAGCCTCTCTGATTTTCCTGTGAGCTCTGTCTTGGTTCCCACTATGAGCTCAAACCTGTTTCACAGAGAGCTCAAGAAACTTCCTGCAGCTGTCAGTGTTGCCAGGCAACTTTGTTCTCTAGGACATTTTTATCAGGAAACGCTGTGGCCTGCGGTGAGTTGAAAGACTGCGCCGGCTCTGAAAGACTCAGATGGAGGCTGCTGATAACGGAAGATGGGCGACTTTGCATCGATGGCGAGATGAAGGGTGACGGAGAGCTGGCACTGCACGCCATTAAGCCAATATAAGAGCTGAGAAATAGCAGGTGCCTGTTTGTGTTCATGTTTTTGTGCATGCAAAAGCAAAAGGTTGCTTTTCTTTTTTTACAGAATAAAGTATATCTCTGTATACGATGTGTGTTTATTAAGAAAGTGGTCTGAAGTGTGGGTGCAGCCAAGGTATGAGAAACTGAATCGCCTCAAACACGCGTGTGACATTAGCACTTTAATGTCTGGAACATCATGCCAGTCGTTTTCACTGAGCTGTGGATTGAAATAGCAAGGCTCTAATCATACTTTTGAATTTGAATGGTTGCATATATTATTACTTTTGAGAGTAGCACCCTCTGACTGGAGTTTGAATGTCTCCACAATGAAAGGAAAGTAAGCAAAACTGGCCACCTGAGAGAAAAGCTTATGTATCTATGTGTGTTGTGCGATGGCATAAAACTGCAGCTATTGCCTGTACACATGTGCTGCACAAATGTACCCCATCTTTGTCATTTTGTATTCTGTAAGGGAAAACAGAACACACGACAAATGAATGTGTTCCCTTCACCCAGACATACGCAGTTACAATACTCGACTAAGAAGCCAAGTTCAGCCTCGGTGTTGCTTGGGGAGCAGGATTCAATACCTGCAGTGAGAGCCGGGCTCAGCGCTGAAGTGGAAGCTTTCGCTGTGGGGACGGCCACAATGTGAAATACAATCACAACACATAGCTGGGAAATGCAGCGGCGCGAAGGGAGGGAGGGAGGGAGGGGGGGTGTCGGAGAAAAAGAAATATGGGGAGATGAAGCAATGAAAGTGAGACCCCTGGTGATAATCTGCAAATGCTGCAGGTTTGATCCTGCAGAGAGAGGTGTGTGTGTGTGGTTTATATTGTGTTGCTATACTGGTGAGGACTTGCCCAGTGCCACAACCAATCAGATCTTGTATCCTTAACGTTTGTCTTTTACTACAATACCATCATTTAACATTTACTTTGGTAACTGCCAAAATAAAAAGGGGTGTCATTTTTCTAAATCATAAACAAACAAAAAAAAAAAAAAGGAGAATATCTTCCAGCTGCACACATTAACAACAGTGAGTGCTCCAACACAGACGGCACATCAAAATGGTGCCTGTGTGATGGAGCTGAAACGTGTCCTTGTGCTCAAGAATAGTGAACAGGTGCGTGCATGCATGTTGTGTGCTCTTGTTGGCTCCCGTCATCCACACGTAGTTATTTGAAAAGCGACGTTACTCTGGCCGTTTGAAATGATAATAAAAAAAAAGGAACAAAAGTCATGGACAAGAGCTCGCCGCTGCCGCTCGCTCTACAGGAGACACTGACCATCACTTTACACAGACAAGCTGGCCGATGTTGCGATTTGATTACTGCAGAGAGAGAGAAAAAAAATACCTTGTGGAGCAAGGTCACATCATGAGTCTCATTTAAAGTTTCTCTCTCTCTCATAAAACCATTTATCCATCAGCATCATCAAGGTCATTTCTTTAGCAAATCACCAACCTTGTCTCCATCCTCTCTTCTCTTTCACTTCCAACCATTCCTCAACTGGGCCATTACCTGAAAAGGCCATTACTTGAAATCTCCTCTGAGAGATGAGGCTTGACTTTTAAGCGATGCTGTCATAGCTGAGCCAACTTTTCGGCAACACTTAAGCCAGGCAACTGTGATGTGAATGAATACAACAGGCTGAATACAAGGCGAGTTTGCACTTTGCAGAGACTGTTTTTGCATATTTTTTTTTTTTTTTAAATCAGAGTGCACAATTTAATTTTGGTAATAAGACAAGTATTCTCAGGAAACTCACTCTGAAATGGTTTGGACATTCATTTCCAGTATTGCATTTGCTATCTGACATCCATTTCCACCCATTATCAAATTGCATTTTTATTTTCTGTGTTTGGCATTGCACTAATGTCCTGCTCATTTGAATAACAGGTAGATAGGGCTTTAATATTCCTGGGGAGAATCCAATTGTAGACAGAAAAATGAATAGCACTGGGAATTTGCTCAGACTTTCTATACTCGACCCGGTGTTTCAGCATCCTTGCCAGCAAAGCTTTTTCACAGTCTGAGATATTTTTCCTCAAGTCTGCCAACTTTTTAAACTCTATAACAATGTGTGTTCACCATGCTCATACCCAACTTGACATTTAAGAAATACTGCAGTCCTTCTAGTGAATAAGATCCCTTGACATCAGGGCACAGCCAAATGCATATACAACTCTATCTCAACAAAGTTCATCATTTTTGTGTACTTAATGATTAATCAGGGATTCTGTCAAAGCTTCTGTCCTTCAAATCATTTCTTAAAGTTATAAAAACACCTAGAGGTCACACCTAAACCTTAGGGACAGGAGAAACCACAAGCTCTTTAAGGCTAATTGTTATCGACTTCAGCACACATCACACGGCCCCCGTACCTGTTTGGCGAGGTTCACAGCATCAGCGTGAAGTCGGTCTCTCAGATGAGGGTCCAGTTGGAAAGCCGGTGCTATCTCCACAACCTTCAAAACAACAGGAGTTTATTGATTATGCCACAGTGACCACAGCACTGTCATGAGAAATGTAACAATCTGGTAATGACAGGGAACATTTGAACTCTGTGTTGAAAACCTTTCTATCCTGCATTTTTTTTTTTTTTTTTTTTTTTTTACAGCAACTCTTTATTCAACACGTATGGTAGTAGAACTTAAATGTAAACCAGCTCTTTCATGAATACCTACTAACTTAATGATGATGGTCTCAATATTATTGAGGATGATGATGGTTGTGATGATGGTTTTTGTTTGATAAACGATGACTTATAAGATGGTTTCTATACTGATTAGAGCTCTCAAGAACTGCCTTCAATGTTGTGCTTTGCCTCTGGTCACTTCCTGTCAGCACCTGTGTGTCCAATCAGACTCAAAGCTGATCGTTTGCTCTTACTGACATTGTTCCCTTTTTTCTAGATCCTTGCTTGTGTTGTACTTACTCTCTGACGCACGTCGCTTTGGAGAAAAGCGTCTGCTAAGTGAATTGTAAATGGATACAGTGCATTTAGAAACAGTAGTTATTAACTTTCCAATGCAATGCTCTCCTGAATCTCTTCCATGTAATGGTTTTCCATTATTTGGGGACTACCTACAACCTTTAACCAAAAACAAAATTTGGAAATGGCCTGTACGAGTGCCATGAGTTTTACACTTCAGCACTGCATCAGTTAATATTCACTTGATTTGCCTGCCGTTTTATGTTTGGCAGCTAATATACAGTGGGGCTTTTTCACAGCTCATTGGTAAAAAAACAAAGCCATAGATTGGCTGACGCCCCAGCTAATGGGGCTCCTCGCTGCCAGTTTTCTCGTTTTCCATGACTAATTTATGATAAAAGGCTGTCCTGGTATCACCTTCAGTGGTCACAGAACTGGCCGTTGTGAGTGCAGAGTAAATGCAGACATACAGGAGACGCCGCTGCCATAAAATACCCCGACATGAGATACAGCGGTCGGTAGGTTGCGTCAGGTTAAGACGGCATATAGACCCGAGAAATGATAACCACATTCAGTACAGGTATGTGGATGTTAACCTGCAAGCAGGACTGAAGGTAGCGTTGCTGACGTAAACCTCGTTTTACAAACCAAATTGACATCGTATAACCGCAGACTCTGGGATTCCCGTTTGGTCTGAAACGTTGAAAGTCACCACAACAAGAAATACATAAAAGGTAACGCTTTCAGTCAACTAAAATAAATTGAGCTCAATTTTGATAATCGTGTTTTCAAAAAGCCCTGTGGAACTTTGAACTGCATATTAAAGTGTTGAACTGATAGCAGTCCTTACAGAAGTGATCGCTTCAAAAGACCACAGTCTCAGATAGTTTTCTACGTCCTATTTACAATCAGTCGTTTACATTACTCCCTCAGTAGCCAGCGCTTTGACACTTAATCTCCAGTAAAACAGACGGAGAGAATCATTTGTAGTCGTGTTCAGCGTTTGATTTGGTCTTGCAACAGCTGCTGTGTGGTTGGGGTTCCCCATGTTGGAGGCTGGTCTGTTTCAGTCCACTGTGTCATAAGGTCGCCCCATCCAATAGAAAAGTAATTCAATCAGGTTTACAACATAATCAAGCATGTCTGGTTTAGATAAATGACAGCTACAGGAACTCGGTTATTTTTTTTTTTTTTTATCAGAACCAACCCCTTCCCCTTTCCAAGTATGAACAGCATTTCTAAGACACAGCGAAGAGCTAAAAATACCCAATCGTCACTCCACCATCCCTAAATCTATTTCAACAAGCAACTATTCTTGTTTCTTAGATTCAAAAAGATCTAAGATTAAGGGCAAAGGCAGATTAAGTCTGAGTGAATCAAAGAGCCGCAGCTCTGGCATGAACAGTGACACTAATATGATTATAAATTATAATTTGATTAAAGAGAAAGGAAGAAAGTGATGAAAGCACATGATTGAAACTGCGCTGAGGTGACAATATGTAATGAAATATCACATTTGTTGATCAGTCGGCTCTGATGAAGGCATTGTTACATCGCATAGCCATGAGGTGACAACTTCTTTTCTCCAATTAATGAAGCGGTCGTTCATATTTGTTATTTTGACAATCAGGTGATTCTGAACTACCAGCCCAAACAATATGGGACAATTAGCCCTGGCTGATGAATGGGCATCAATTCAAAGCGATATACCCTTAAAGCAGCATTCTTTCTCATTATACAAATGGATATAAATGAGAATATGTTGCAGCTGCAGTTGTTGCCAAGACTTCCTTCTACGCAGAATTAGCAGTGGCTAATTTTATTGGTGGATAATCCTCTTACCCCCTGCAGCATGCATCTACAGGCCTTTTTCCATAGCGAGGACCATTAGTGCCATGATAATCATTGCAACAATCAGGACTGTTACACTATATTTCTTAATATGTTGCTTAATTGCCTGAATACAAATGGGGGGGAAAAAATGCAATCTTTTGCATATCAACGAGACTGCTTGCCGGTGGGATTCCTGCCTATGACCTTTGTTTTTATGCCTGCACACAATCCACTTCACGCTCATCTGCATTAAAAATCAGAAGCACCATGATGATAATCTTAAGACAAATTCAAACATTTACTGGATTAGAAGAATCTGAAAATGAGGACTTCACCTTTTGATGTCTCCGCTGAATGGAGCAGTCTCTCTCGTAGAGGTGGATGACATTGCCGTATTTATCGCCTGGGTAAAAAGATGAGAGTTATGTGAGATAGGGACAAAGGAAATTAAAAATTAATTAGGGAAATAAAGAAAAGCAGCGGTTGAATATAAGCAAAGACAGAGAAAATATGTATTTCTTGGTCACATTGAGGCACGTCTATTTGGCTTTTTTAAAGCTTTAAAAACCAGCTTTAAACTGAAGACCGAAGTCTTACTATTAGACTTTGCAACAACCCGCATTTCTTCCAACAGATCAGCATACAGGATGAAATGACCCATAATGCACTGGTCAACACAGACATTGTCAGTGCCCAGATGGCTGGGTCCCGAGGGACTGCTACAGCCTGCAAGGCAATTGTCACAAGACAGATGGAGGCAGCAGAAAGGCATAGGTAGGCCACTTTCTGGTTGCATCCTTGCAAGCAGGACTCCACATTCTGTAAAACATACTGCTGTAAAACAGTAGAGGGGCCCTTAAAGACCATACTAGAATGTCATACTAATTCGTCCTGTAGTAGTTTCATGCGTGTGAACTCTTAATATTTATCATTAAAACACAGACAAGGGTGATCCAACTTTTTGGACTGATGAACATTCGTATAATTGATTTATCTGTTACATGTCATTAGATGATTTGTTTTCCACTTACTTAAACATCAGTGAAACGGTCAAACATTTTCAAGCTGATGTCTTCAGATCTTTGGGTTTTTTTTGGAAATTGGTTGGACAAAACTAAAAATCTACAACACATCATTTTTAATTGTATTCAGAAAGCATTTTCATTTCAACAAGTCGGTTGCATATTCATTTTCTGTTAATAAACAAATCATTTTTGTAGCTTTTACTTACATATGCATCTAAAAAAAAAGATGCAACAGCCAAGCAGCTTACTGTAAACGTGCCAGCTAAGATCTTTTTACTCAAGTAAAATACAGATCCAGCACCAGGACAAACAACGGAATGGTGCTTAAAAACTGAAAGGTCCCTCCAGTCCAAAAAAAACAGCTTGCGGCCGAGACTTTATTAGACCAGACTCAACGCTAGCATGCTGTTTAAAAGGCCTGAAAAGGAGCAAGAGTAAAGGAAAGTTGGAAGAAAACACAGAGGTCCGAAAAAGAAAACAGAAAGGTTGGGGATTTCTAAGGGAACACAAGAGAAGAAAGGAACAGAAGAAAGAGAAACGAGGAAAATCAAAAAGGGGAGGAAGTGGAAAACATTACATTGGAAGTGAAGTGGGGAGGTAGGGAAAGATAGAAGGCAGAGATTACTGGCCAAGACTGTCTTTAACAGGTAATTCAAAACATTAACAAAGCATGCCCTAAAGACAGTAATTAATCACTGGGAACACACTGAACCACCCTGTGTTGAATGATGAACATGCATTAACACATTCATGCAAACTAGAGCCTGAGAAACTAATTAATGTATTGTGCACTCAAACATACACACACGTACACATTCACATTAACTGTACAGCCAGGAGGAAGATCGTCTTTGTCAGTGTTTAATTTCACTTCGGTAATATCGAGTGGTGGTTTCAATCAAGGTAATAAGAAATAACTGTTGGAGAATCCTCTACTGACCAATGAATTCCATCCTTGCATTACATTCAACGGCCGCTAAGCTTTCCAAAATGAACTTGGATCAATGCACATAAACAAAATCCGACGCTCAGATGGAGGCGAACAAAGGGGAGGTTGTAGAGTGCACTTACCGAGGATCTGTACTTCAATGTGTCTTGGTTTTTCAATAAACTTCTCAACAAACAGGGCTCCGTTCCCAAAAGCTGTCAGAGCTTCAGAGTAGGCTCTCTGGTAATTCTCCTCAAGTTCCTGACAAACACACAGGGAAAATCCATAAGCGTCTGAGTCAGTGCGGTTATTCATGAAACCAAGAGGACCACAGCACAGAATTGGTTTGGTTTCAAAGAGTTTTGGTGCTGTACAAACTTTATTTTAGTTACATTTTGTTCCCCCCCCCCATACACAAATTTTGACATGCAGGGAGCAAGATTTGTCACATTCCTACGACCAGGCTGTGGGAGGTCATGACCCAGCATGCTTCGGGTCACGGCTCAATCTGTGTTTGTCAGTTTGTGACAATCTGCCAGCGTCCAGTGGCGTCTACTGGTGTTAAGACCGATGCCCTCTTCACTTTGCCTCAGGAGAGGATACTTCAATTCATCCTCGACTGTCATCTCGAAGCCTTGAGAAAAGATGGTCTCGATTCCAAAACAACAAGGTGCTCAGAGCAGTAGCAGACATCAGACAGCAATAGCCCGTTTTGTGTGAAAGCTGCTTATCAGAAAAACTGCTCTGAACCATCAGATCAGATAAGATGAAGGATAATAATAAGTCGGAGATTCCATCTTCTAGGTGAGAAATCCATTCACAGAAGGCTTCAACATTGACTAAGACATGCAACTTGTCCTAAAGACGTGTTTAATTGTCTGCCTTCACATACAATAAGTGCCTAGAATTTTAAATTACCATATAGCTCTAAGAACATAGAGCACTTTTATATGTGAAATCTCCCCTCTATGAGTTTGTTTTCCTGTTTCTGATCATCTGTTGTGCAACTGTGCACTCATCATTTCGCCATGAATTCATGATTGAACAACTTTTCTGAGTGCTCACCCAAAGCATCGTCGCCTACTTTGGTTACCTGGGTTCTTCACAAAGGTCGGTGGTTAATTATTGTAGATTTGTAAAAGAATAAATAGAGTTGGAACATCCCATTTTTCCCCCATGGCAGAACACAATTCCTTTAACTTGGATTAATTTATTCTTACTTTGAGGTTATTACCGAGCAAAAAATGTCAAACAATACCGGCTTGATATCGATTCTCAATATAAGTGAGCAGTGACATTCATTAAAAAGATCATCGCTTGAACATTTCAAAATGGACCTGTAATGTTTTCCATTTTGTTTCCTGTAGGAAAAGGAACATAAAGCCACACACACACACACACACGGCCACATAGTTAAACGACTATTGTTGTAAATGTCAGAAAAGACTTTTCAAAGACTCAAAGTTAGCAGAATTCCATTTGTACTCCTTCCACATCAGTTCAGTCCGTCTGTCAGCCTCAGCCACTGGGGGCTTTAATACGTGCCGCTCTCCTTTTCTCTTCCTCTTTTGGAAAGCACGTCATGTCAAAGCCTGAAGAAAAATCTGGCACTTTAATTCCGACTTGCTTATCGGTAAACATGAGCGTCTCATCCGACAATATGTTCAGAATATCTAGGCTCACTCGCTTAATTCAGCATACAAATGACCACAAAGCTGGAAGAAGTCAACCTACGTATTGTTGCTCAAGGTCCCAGAAGAGAAGGGAAAGCTCTTAATAATTTTCTCACATCATATCAGCTGGAGTTGCTGAGGCTCCTGTGACTCAACTTAATCACTAGAAAGGTCAACAACTAATTAACTAGAGTGGGATACAACCTCAGAGAAGGTCACAGTTTTCAATGGACTGCTGACTTGTGGGGCTCAAAAGACTACAGTAAAACAATCAGAAACTCCGAGGCTGACCCGGACAGAATCATTTTCTGGGTCAGGGGTTTACTAAGGATCACAGCAAGTAGGGTTTACAAACAACAAACAGTAAAGAAGAAGTTAGTTCATCAGGGAATCTTTTTTTAAACCTTTCAAAACACAAAAAGGAAGTTTATTCAGCATTTTTTTATCATGCTTAGCCCATTTCATAAACAGTTTAAAATACATGTGAGTATTTAGGGCGGGAGAAACTATCAGGAGAAATGTACATAACCTATTTTGTTTGGGGGTGAGTTAAGCCAAAGAAGAAATAAAGAACAGTAAACGCTAGCAGCCATGACGGATGAGGAGTTAGTGATGCTCTGTGCAGCTCTGATTCACCACTGATCTCTGCCCTCTTCTATCTGATTGGACAACAACCAGCTGCCTGCTAAAAAACTTTGACACGGTCAAACTTGAGAGGCAGAAATGGGGAAGAGCTGTGTGTGTTTACATGGGCAGCTTAAAAACACACAAACACAGAGCCAGTGCCCGCGCTTCCGACGTCAGGCGAGGCAAAGCTGCCGCCAGGCCTCTGCTGAAATAAACAGGGACGACAACGTGCCACTCTGGATGTCTACAGGCCTTCAAAGACCTTGTTTTTTTCATTTTTAGACAAATATTTTTGATATGATTATATTTTTATGGATAAAAAAACACTTTTTTTTTTTTTTTTTTAAACATTTATGTCCTGGGGAAACCTTACTAAAACTGTATTTGTTTTGTTTTACTATCAATAATTTACAACATTTTGTAATCCAAGCAAAGAACCACCGCAAGGGAAATGGTATAATTGGCCCTGCTTGACCTAGTTTCCAATAAAAGAACAACAAAAGGTAAGGAGAGTTTTTTGTTAGTGGTTTAAGTTCTACAACCATGTCTAATTCTTAAACGGCATCAACCTAATACACCGCTTACCGTTAGTAAGCAGCTGTTAGCTTTTCATGCTAAAGATAATATACATATTTTTCTTCTTGTAATGTATGTTGGCCATGCTGTGTATTCATTTATTATTCAATGAGACAAGATTTGCAGATTATTGCCACACTTAGTAAAATATATATATTGTATTATATGTGTGAAGTAGCTTCTTCTTTTAATGACTTTGATCCAATAACTTTTTTAATATAGCATTCATTTTATTTTTTTTATGTTTACATTACTGCCCAGAACCGGAATAATTGTTTTTTTTCTGCCTCCACCTCTTGGTCAGATTTATTCACATAGAGCTACACTTTGTTTGTTACAGTGTTCAATATTTTAATATTCACTCCAAAATGGAAACATTACACACACACATACGATGCAATGTTGGGGTTTTATGATCACATTTATATTAAGATGCTCGTTTGATAATTGGGCTCTGGCCTAATACAATATTGAAGTCATTATTTTTCCTTTGCTGATGCAGGAGAACAAGCCTCCAACACACTGTAATCAGTCACGCTTTGCTGGGTGACAGAGGCAATTTCAGTGTACACACACCTAAACACACAGGCAGGCTGATTGACGGCTGCAGAGATAAATGACCATGTCGTAATTTCAAAAGAAATTCCACCTTGATTCAACACAAAGTCAAAATAAAATAATTATGTTAACATAGATTTGGCCAGTTATCGTAGTTTGTTTTCTCTCTGCTGGAAAGACGTCAGGATAAGATTTATGTTGTTAGAGCAAGCTGTTAAATTACATTCCTGAGAGAAGTGATCATGTACAGTCGCTGCTGCTGACAGGCTTACCTCGTACTCTCTGACCACCCTCATGCCCCGACCGCCTCCTCCGTAGGCTGCTTTGAAGATGATGGGGAAGCCGTACGTTTGGGCGAACACGTGCGCCTCCTGCATGCTGGCGATTGGGGCGTCCGTTCCTGGGACCACAGGTACACCTAGACGAGGGTGGGTGAGCGAACGGATACGAAAGAGAGATGGATTTATACATCGTAGTTTTTAAAATCGTCTTTTCAACGAGCTATGTGCAGCACTTAATTTGAGTCGCTCAAGGTCAAGTACTACTTTACCGTGCAAAAACAGGAGACTGGGGGTGTTAGCTCCTTACATGTAGCACTTAGTATTTCAGTTTCTTAATCTTGATAGATGGAAAAAGTTATAGGCTGAAAATGTTTCGTTACCGACGAGAAAGACAATTTGGTGTTTGGGGACGAAAGGCTTATTCATGCAGAACATTATCAGGGTCAAAGGTGGCGGGAGGAAAGGGGTGGGTCATCATGAAAAATAAAGGGTATATAGAAAATGTTATTTCCCACTCATCAGCCATGTATCAATAAAATCAGAAAAAAATAGCTTGCACTAAATAAATAAGAAAGAAAGAAACCATATTATAGGATGTGTTCAATTGTTGGCATCAGCTTTGTTGGCGTCAACATTTTTTCTCACATTCTTTATCTCCGTTGTGTGTTTAACTCCATCCATACCTGCGGTGATGGCCAGGGCACGGGCCTCCACCTTGTCCCCCATCTTGCGGACAGTTTCCGGGGTCGGTCCAATAAACATGACTCCAGCGTCTGCGCAGGCTTGTGCGAAGTCCGCGCGCTCGGAGAGGAACCCGTAGCCCGGATGGATAGCGTCCACGTTGTTGTCCTGAGAAAGCGAGGGAGAAAGGTTCATTATATATTTCTGTGCCGTGTACCAGCTGACCCATGTTTTTTTTCTTTTTTTGCTTTGTTTCTGCGAGTAGAACCCAGAGAAAAGGAAATGAAGCCCAACTATGAAGCAGGAGTCCTTTTAAATAGGGATCAACCGCTGGGCCCCTGTTAGCACTTGGCAGACTGTTGGTGAGGGACATAAAGAGTCGTCACAAACTCTCACCTGCATGTTTAAAAACACACACACACACACACACAACAGTCTAAAATGTTGTGTGGCTCACTTCCAGCAAATGGACAGTGAGCTGATGGCATATTTTATCCTCATTCTAGCTTAGTTACTGTGGCTTTAATCATTATCATCTACTAGATGGACACCAGTAGGAGGCTGAGTGAGCAGACAGGCATGCATAATTTGAGGGTCAGGGGGGTGTTCTGACAACACACACACACACACACACGCACACACACACACAGACAGACAGACAGATGCAGGCAGGGTAGCAGACAGATACAGTAGCTGCCGAGCTTGACAGATAGAGCCATCTCTGGATCAGTATGTGCCATCTGCTCTTGGATACGAGGCGGACCATAATTATGGGCTGTCCCGTTGTTAAGGGAGCTGTTACTGGCAGGCCACGGGAGGCATGAAGCCACACACACACGAAGTGCAGCGAGTGTGTGCACACAGGCAGGTACGCCCACTCACACGTGCATGCATGGACGCAAGAAGACAGGGCCAGTGGAGAATGATTCACACAAAGGTTAACACATTCAGACAAACAATATCACACACTGGGGCGTTCTTAGTTGTAAGCTTACACACACTTTCAGACTCAAAGTAGTATGAAAGACAGACACAGACGGTACTGGGACAGAGACGGCTGGTTATTTTAGTCACAAAGTAACAGAGTGACACACAGTGTGAAGAGGAGGTTTGAAAGTGTGTATGAATGAGAGGACACACACACGCGCACACAAACACTTGCTGGATCATGCATGGGGTGGCTGAGCTCCCAGACAGGCAGACGGATTTTTGAGAAATGAGTTGCATGGCGGATGCTCTCAGACTTGGCTGGCTGACCACATGCCCACGCAGAAAATTATAAACCGTGAGAGATTGATCAGAGAAATGATAATGAACAACTGGCGGCGCATCCTGGAGGGATGGAAGGGAAAGGAGGTGACAAGGAAGAGGTCTGATATCACACAGTGATAAGTGGCAGAGGGGAGAGAGAGAGAGAGTGACAGGAAAAAAGGAGGAAACAGAAACAAGCAAGAGGAGGAGAAAGAGGCGAGCCACCATCTAAAATAAAAAGGAAAGAAGAAAGGCTGGGGGGGTGATCGATGGAAGAAGGCAAGTAGTTTCCTTTTTTCTTCCCTATAGCCACACTAAATGTAAATTTATGTGGAAGAGAAAGAAAAAAAAAAGTTGGTTCTTCATTTGTCAGCCTAATCATGTGCTTCTGATAGCCATTAGGTTTTACTCTATTACCATAAAAAAAAAAGGGACAACTTCTGGCAGTAGCCAAGCCTTTGAAGCTCAGTATTATATAAAGCACCAAAGAATAATTCAACTATATAAAGCTCAGTTGAAAAAAATAAAATAAAGACTTAAGGGGAACACAGTTGAAGCCAATTCTCAATTCTGTATTTTGTTTTTGCATTCTGTAAAGTTAAAAATTTGCAGTCCAACATGGTGAAAAAGTGAGCTTTAGAGGGGTAAACTTTCCCCAAGAATAATTGTAGACTGAGCCAGGCTTGCGGTTTCCTTTCTCATCCGAGGCTTTAAATTTCTCCTCCCTAGTTTGGATATCCAACAGATATTTGCCATCTTCAAGCCCATGCTGCGAAAACCCTAATGACATCACTAGGGACTTTAGAAAGCGCCTCCAGTGCTTCTTAAGTCATTAAGCATTAAAACTACTTTCACAGGCTGAGTACTGTAGTATTAACCATGAAGAGTATATTCATCTTTAAGTCTAAAATCTTCTCACAGAAATGACATTTTCCTTAGAGGTAAAGACCTTAACTCTTTTTTTTTTTTTCCCCATCTAGGGAGAAATGCTCTTTACCTTTGCTACTTTGATGATGTCAGGAATGTCCAGGTATGCTGCGACGGGTAGAAGGCCTTTTCCAATCAGGTAGGCCTCATCTGCCTTCTGCCTGTCAAGACAAACACAAATCATTTAATATTAGAAGGAAGAAGCAACAAAGTAAACAAAAATACAATAATGGGCACCAGATCTCAAGCACTCAATGTGTTTGCGGCAACTTAAGTGAGTCCTCTAATCAGCCTTATGGCCCTGACACACCAAGGAGATCGTCCTAGGTGGACCGACAGCGAGAGGTCGTCGCCTTAGTTGTTGCGGTGTGTCCAGCTCAGTCGCTACCCGTCAGCCCCGTCAACCCATGTCGAATCAGCGTCAGCGGTCTGCGAGAGGGATCTCTCTGATTGGCTGCTCGGAGGTTTCCTTTATCTCCAGCTCTCGACACAGGTTCTGTAAAGCCCCTTGAGCATGCCGCTGTAGTATCCACGCTTTCACCCATTAGTGCGGTTTCTCCTTATTTGTCACCTCCGCCTCTTTTTTTTTTTCTATTTCCACTAAAATACCAAGAGCTGACAACGCCAGTGCTATTTTCTACTTTTTAATCAGACATTATTCTCGATTAGTAAGGCTACTGTAACATGAGTGGTGCGTGACAGCTGTGTAAAAAATGTTCATAACTACGAGCTGACGCCGCCCCTCACGCATGGTGGTTGGCCGTCGGCTGTAGTCTTTGTTGTGTTTTTAGGGTTCTAGTGCAACTTTTTGGCCAAGACGTGAGGCGGACGCCACAGGTGGCCTTCTTTGCCGTCTGCTTGGTGCGTCAGAGCCCCGAGGACAAGGCAGAACCTGGAAGCAGCGAGGTCACACCCAAAGACATTTACAAAAGAAAAGGCTCAATGAGGCAGATTAAGCTGCCAGGGATTACCTGAATGTTTCCTCATGTCAATACAAATTACATTTATGTCCCGACTTAATACCATCTGCAAAACAAACAACCGGCCCAATGTGCTGGAGGGAAGAAAAATGCTCCCAAGCTTCCTGTAATTGCAATTCACTCTGATCAAGTGTTACCATTTCACGGTCAATGTCCAGCAGTGGCAGCCCAGCACTTAACCCAAGACATGTGTGTGATAGCCCGTAGTTAGAACGCATGGATCCATGAAGCTCTAACATCGCATTAGTACCTGTGCATCTGTCCAGTGTCCTGCTCAGAGTACACAGCCACAGTTCGAATCCCCAGTTCTGTGCAGGCTCTGAACACACGGATAGCGATCTCACCTGGAAGAAAATATGAAAGACATGTGTGAGGAATAAGAGAAAACAATTTCACTCTTTATCTGCCAGTGCTTCATTTTGCGTACTAGTTCCCTTTGTTTCACAAGCTCTGAAATATTGCTTTTCCTCCCTTTCATGTTTAGTCTCTGTATTATTTACATTTTGTTATATTTTCTATCATTGGTTGAGCAGATTTTGTTTTGTGGTAGGAGGTAGTAGTGTTCTATTTTTCATAAGCACACATTTAACATGATTTTATCAACATCCCGTAGCAATGGCCTAATTTTGCATTGACTGCCTCCGCTGAGAGAATAAAATAAACTTTAATTTTTTATGCCACGCATGAGATGAAAACAAGATAAATCTTTTTTTTGGCTAAGTCATCAAACTGTTGAAAAACATCCACTGACACTGCAACAAGTCTACTGTTTTCTCCCAAGTTTGAGAACATAGTGTAAACTCCAGACAACCAAAACACCGCTCGTCTTTAATCTTGCTGTCACCAGAGCCAAATACTTGTTTTTCAAGCAACACACATTTCGGGGGAGAGAAAAGTATTTCCACTGAAAACTAGCAAGATGTGTTGTACTTGCTGGAAGAGGAGGACGGTGTTTAAACATTTTAGGAAAAGTTAAACATTGAGATATCAAGCAAGCAAGAAATGGAATTAGAGAGGAGAACAGCAGGGGAAATGGGGTAAATAATATGAAAGACGGGACAGAAATGAGAGGGCAAGAAGGCATAAAAAGACCAGACAGGTGAAATGTTATGCATTTAAGGTCAGAAACCTTTAGAATAATAGGTCAGAAAACAGAGGACGTTGGGAAAAGAGCAATGCAAAAAGAAAAAGGACATATGACAGAGGACATAGAGTTTTAGACAGAGCTAGGACAAGAGATTCAGTTTGGCAGGTTTAACAACATGACAAATAGAGGGAAAAGAGACATGAAAACCAGTGGAGGGGGGAAAACCAGAACAGAGGAAAGAATGAAAAAAGGAACACTGTCACATGGGGCAAAAACAAAGATAAACAAGTGGCTCAGAGGAAAATCAAATCTGACAAGTGCCGGAAAAGACAGGGGAGGCAAAGGGAGGGGTAGAGGAGAAAACAGAAGGGAAAGAAAAGGAAAGAAGAATATTAGTGATAGAGCAGAAACGCATTGGCAAGGAGGAGATGTGCTTGGTTGAGTGGAATCTGGGCTGATATGATACGATGGTCCAGACTCTCTCCTTTTCACACACACACACACACACACACAATGAAGCCGAGCAGGGTCCAGTGCACTCCTGTGTGATGAATGTGATCTAATGTGGTGTTGAGATCACGTCACGCCAATGTGGAGGAAGGAGATTGACGGAAAGTCCTGCTCTGTGTGTGTGTGTGTGTGTGTGTCAGTGAACACAATCTATTTGAATCAATTTGATGGATTAAGGCGGTTAAATAAAGCCTCTATGGAAGGCTAGCCATGAATGTATGCATGCACATGTGCAGACTTCTTATTTGCAGCAGAAGGCATTGCACAGGTCCAGCATTAGGTTGCATTTTAAACCTCAACAATCAACCTGAAACTATGAAACACCGACTCAAATGAAGCTATGTAGCACTTTAAATGGAATCAAAAATAACGGGTGGCCCAAAAAGCAATTAGGATGATATGCATGAATACATTTATTTGTCACTCACATCCTGTGCGTCAGCTGACAGAGTGCTCTAATTGCACATTGACTGCCTCTCTGGACAGCATTAGCATTAACAGGAGGGGGTCAGCTGATTAGAAGTATTGTGTTTATGCCGCAGTAAAAACCATACCAGTGAATGCTTGTTGTTTAGGAAAATATGTGCTTCTCTATAATTATATACCCATTGATATCTCATTCCCACTGTCAATCACTTATGAGGATTTCTAGGACTGTAGCTTAGAAAGCAAAACATATACATTTGATGTTGTTGGACGTCTTTCTTTTTGGACAATAACAAATATGCAGTTGCTTCTTGTTTCAAAAGTACAGTCCCATTTCAGTTTCCGTGCTTTTGAATTTAAGCAAACAAAACTAGCTTGTACAATCACCCACATACAATGTGTGCTTAAATATAAAATGTGTGACAAGGCAAACTAAATGTTGGCCATTAAATATTCAGAGTCTGTTCTTTGCCTGAGGGAGATCGTAAGTGTCATAACTTTTCTCTTACATTATAAATGAAACAGCATTAAACTGTATTGAATTCAATAGTGCTATCTGAATTACCTCTACTCTGTGGTGAAATAGTACCGTCAGGATGCGGATGCGTTCTCACCTCTGTTGGCCACCATGACTTTCTTGATTGGTCGATACTCGCTCTGAGGGGAAGAGTGGGTAAACCGGGAGACAACGCACGTCCTCCTCAGGGCCAACAGGCCGAGTCCTCCTCGGACTACAGCGTACCTCAACATCCTAAAAGCAAAAGGAAGGAAGTGTTTAAAACACAGCGTCTCGATGAATCTTAAACTTAAATCAATAAATGGAGGGGAGAGGGGACAAAGCCGAAATATCAGCAAGAGAAAGACATTGATTGTTGGGTGTTTTGGTTTTTTTCCAGATTCTTGCAAACACACACACACACACAAAAAGGTTCGATGCATTTCAGTGACATGATATACTCCATCTTTTTTTTATTTACTATTTTTTAAGTGATTCTTTGCCTTCACTTGATAAGGAAAGTTGTAGAGAGACAGAAAATGTGGAGAGAGAGAGAGTGGGGGATGACGTGCACCAAACAGCTTCAAGACCAGGAGTTGAACCTGCAACCAGTGTGCCCTCCTTACATGGGGCACCTGCTCTACCAACTGTATGCCGTATACATCTTTAAAAAAAAAAAAAAAAAAAAAAAAAAATCACAATGGCTGATAAAAACTAAACAGAAAATTAGTCAAGTATGTAAACCATTTTCATAGAAGTCATCCAAAACCTACAGGAAAAGCTCCTCAAAGTGAACGTAGTGATCGTGTGCTTAGTTAAATCTATCTTGAGGAAAAAGAAGCTCTAAGGAAACTGATGAGAGGATGATAATGGTTTGGAAATGATTAAACACGAGATGGGAGACCTTTTTAGATTGATTAAATCTACTCAAGCGGCAGGGCTTAATAAGTTGATGCCATGGGTTATGTTTGTCTTTCAACACTGATCATTTCTCAGAAATTTGTAATCGGTGTCGTATTAATATTTTTGCAGCATTTCACGATTATTCAAAAAGCTGGCTTTCTCATTAACAATTTGACACCAGTGGCCCCACTTATGAGAGTTAACATGAAAGACTGAAAAGATAAGTTGAAGTAGATCAAATCAAACTAACTAAAAGATCATTCTACAAACTTCTTCCAAAGATATTAAATTTGTATTAAAAAGGAAAGCGCAAGTTTGGAAGGCAATCAGCTGCTGCTCTTCCTTGAGGCCTCCAGTCAGCTTCAGGTGTACCTCATTAAGCTCAACGACTTTGGAGTGTTTTAGCTGTCTTTTTCTTTTAATTAATTACAAAGGGTAGTCCCCACATCGCTTTTCTATACCAGAAATTTCAGATTCAAACATAAAAAACCTCAAAAACTTTGGTGTTTTATGAAGTTTAAAAGAAAACTAACTTATACTTGTATTTGTGTTTTATCTGCAAACCAATTTTGTTCACGAAATACTCTCCCTGTCCTATAGGTTAAGGACTGTACTCAACCTCAACAACCACATGGTGCAAACTCATACGGGTTCTTAAATGGAGCATGCCTTTCCAATACAAAAGATACTTACCAACAATGTAACGGTAATGGCACAAGTACACAAATTAGAACATCATTCACACAAAAAGGGGCAAAAAGTCAACAACTACCTCTTCCACTAAATGGTAGGCCTAAGTGTCTCTTTCACTGGCACAAACAGCTCCACCAGTCAAGCTACCAGTTTCCCAAGTGAGCCTCAGACTGCAGAGAGGAAAGCTTCTTCTTCTGGTCTGACTACAAGCTTACATCTCTGTTGAAGTACTTTGCTGCCCCACTGTGGTCAAACAGCATCGTTGCAGTCAATGGGGGATCATAACCAGCTTCCAAAGTGGCATTATTAGGAAATCCAAGAATGCTCTAATACTGTGTTAAACCATACCTAACATATCTGTCTGGATATATTCACACATTGCGGTTAACTTGTTACTGATGACAACATGGGCTGGCTTTTTTACAAAACACAAAATGTGCCATGGTTTCACTAGATGAAGGTGAAATAAGAAGATATTAAAGGTCCTGTGTTGACTTACATAAAATAACCTGCAGTCTGTCGATACCCAACAGAACAATGACATAAAAGATAGCATATGAACTCAAATGACAGCACAGCTTAATTCACCTGTCACCAAGCATGGGGTAAGAGGGAAATACTGTCATGGACATCAAATACGTGCAGAGACAAAAGTAAACTATATGCAACTAAATGACTCAAATTAGACGAACTAAAGAGTCCTGACTCATGACGATTAGGCTCCAGATTTGTAGATCTTTACATAGCACAAAACCAGTTTTCCCCACACACAACCAAAAAGGAAGCATGGGAAAAGGATCTTTGTTTGACAGTTGACCATGAAACCTGGAAAACAATACATTAAAAACATTTATATTTGTTTCGTAAACTCCAGACACCAACTAATTCAATTTAAAATACTTCACAGGCTTCATTATTCCTCACCAAATGGCACTCTTTTTCCTCATCTGTTTCTACCTGTTCAAAGAGTCAATCAGCTGAGGGCACTTTCGGCCGACTATTCTGGGCTTTCCCCAAACTAAATAAGTTCTGTTCAGATATTTTTAAATTGCCTCTCTGAAATATGTCACTCACATCGTCTCCTTTCACAGCCATTTTTGTCAGAACCGACAATAACTAAATCTGTCCCACGTACAACAAAAGACATCACAATATGGCATGGTTGTTCCAAAGTGGAACATCTTATATTTCATCGCTCTACACTTCCAGAGATCTACCTTCTTTTGTTTTAAAATGGCATCAAGAAATGACCAATCTATTACTTATGTAGAGGGCCTGATATAGTGTCTGTCTCAGTTCTGTAACCTTTGATGAAATGTGACAACCACTCTTGTTTTAGTCATCAAAGACAACCTGAAGTGTTATTCTGCTTGCAAAAGTTTGTGCAAACATATGTCTACTCTTCATTTATGTACAGAAACCATGTATTAATACTGTTTTAGACCAATGAGACACACTGTGACCTATAACTGTTTTTTTAACTCACAGTATTGTATGGAATCCAACAAGAGCATGCTTTTGTTGTTTTGTTTTATTTGCTCCGTCCTATGTGCCTCTTTTTGCTTTTGTCTTTGTTTATCCATGAGGAGCGGTTGCTTTTTTTGTAGCTGTGCTGAATACATATATTTTTAAGTAACAAACTTCAAAGAATATGTGTCACCTATACAGAAAGCAGTATGTCCACTTTCTAAGGGAACTAGATCATGAAGCAAAGTCTGTGAGAACAACTGTTCCCCGTGTCCAAGTTAATGCACAAAAATAAACTTTGAAGAATCAAATGAAAAAAGAACCAATGGAAAACGGCTTCCACACCATCAATGGACACCTTCAGACTGTCTGTAAGGAGCCTGAAACAGTATACCGCTGCTACACAAAAGACGCAGACTGTCACTCTGTAACAGATACAGCTTCACAAAGCCTGAAAGAGTCGAGATAACAAGACAAGAGAACCAGGACAAACGGAGCTGACAGACAGGAAAAACAGGTCAAATGTAAACCGTGTCCTACATTAAACATTTCTATACTGTATGATCTTTATGTCTGCAGATAATAAGATAAGTAGATATATGTTACTTGTGTTATTTCTTAGATTTAACAATAAAGTGTGTAATTGCCCTTTATTTCAAGCCTTTGTAGGGGTGTGTGTAGGATTATTCACAGCAAAGCAGGCTTCATGAACATGTGGAGGAATTCTGCAGGGCTTCTCCACATGCTTTCAAATTCATGTATTTACCATGGTGTGAAAATGTGCCTGATGAACACTAGAATACATTTAAAAAAAGACACAAAATAAGGTACAAGACTAGAGCATTATAAAATGTTTCAGAAATTGCACATATTTGAATATAAAAATTGTAAAGAATGCAGGGAAAGACATATTTGGCGCCAGTGACCCCTTTACCTGACGGTGCCAACTATTGAATTGCAAATATTTAACTAGTTCTCGCATTGCATTTTTTTTCCATATTGCACACCTTAGTACATCGTCGTTAAGATTATTCCACACAGGGAACACAGAAGAGGTGTCTGCTCACATAATAATTCATACACGCAAACAAATGTAAGAATCACGCTTCAATGTCTGTTTGCCGTATCCGGTTCGGTTTCACATGTCTGTTGTACAGGTTTCGGGGTTTAAGGTTATGGTTTCTGTAAAAACAACCAAGAGAAAAGGGGGAGATCACACCAGAACAACTATTGCCTGTTACCTGATATTATTTGTCTCATGAACATGCTATACTTTTGCGATTTATGACGACAATTTCTTTTTTAAATACATTTTACAGGGACTCCAATAAGAAGCCATGCAGGTGACTTCATTTACCAAAAGAAATGCCCTGGGAAGGGTTATACATGTTTTACTCATGCCTGTGACATCATTCTACAGATACAGACATTGATATTGCTAATAAGATTTGAAGTGCATGAGCTGCACTTGGCCTGCATTGCTTCAATGTCTCATGACAATGAAGAGGTTCTGCAGCTGACAGGCACTGATTATGTGGGCAGTGTGAATCAGCAGTGAATGTTCAAATGGACTGAACTTATACATCACCTTTTTAGACATCTGACAGCTTAATTGCTGTAAATGCTGAAAGGCTATGACTTTTCTCACTCATATTTAACCTCTGTGAAATTTTTTTTTTTTTTAGAAAATTATTACACCTCCTTCAAGCCTCTATAAGTCAGCCAAAAGTTCTCACAGAAACTTCATTCCACTTCTACAACATTCCAGTCAGACCCTTTGGGCTTTGTCAGTATGATTCATCTTTTTCATAGTATTCAAACAGGAACCTTTTCAAAAGTTAATTTTGTTTTTTTTCAGCCCTTCAAAGACCGTTACATTAGCGTGTATTTCAAGGAATGCTCAGAGCGCGTGATCTCATCAAACAGGGAGTGGAAGCTCATGAACATATCTTGGTCGCCTTCTTGAAAAAATGCCGTCGGGCCACAACTGTAACTCCACATACACAGAAAAGCGCATCAAAACATAGACAACCTTGTTCTGCTTGTGTTAAAACAGCAATATAAATGTACATTTTTTTGCCAGTAGATTGGTCACAGAAAGTTGCTCCCTTTACTCCAATGTTATTTTTTTGGCGGAGATTTCGGGAGGACATCAGAAGAGTGGACTTTTCTACACCGCTGCCCCGGCCACA